ATTGGACTTGATATTTGTTATTTTCGTGATGAAATTGCCAATTTGAGCTATGATAGCACACTTTGCACATACATGCACTTTAGCATGTCACTCATACCAGTCCAGGAGTATGAAATATAATATTCATTGATCATATACATGTGTTCTTTTATATTTGCTTCTGTGCGATATGATTTGGACAGGATGCATGTGACCACGCGGGGCGGATTGTGTTATTTTTCCTCTGACCACACCGGGCGGATTGTGTTGTTATGTTTGTACCCACGCCGGGCGGATTGTGTTGTTATGGCTGTGACTGTGTCCGGAGAATTATTATATTGAGCTTGTGACCATGTCGGGCTGATAGCACGTTGAACTGGTTGTGTTGCGTATGGATATAGATCCATCTCCTAGGGTCACCCTCTCATGTTTCTCTCTTGATAGTGTACATGCGGATTGAGAAAAACTTATTAGTGGTTTGGTACGACTATGAAAATATTAAGGAAAATCTGGCCAGTACTTGTTTTGGATTTTGCATTTCATCTTTACCTGAAATTTCCTTAGATATTTACCTGAATTACTTGCATATCATTCTTATATGCTAGATCATTAACTAAGCAGAGTACTTGAGTAATTGTGCGCGCGCACACAGGCGGTTCCTTCTGTGCTTTATGACTTGATTACATTATTGTTTTGTACTTATTGAATTTATGAATTGTACAGGCTATAGCAAGTATCATTTATAATTCTTGCTTCTTTTGCATCTCCGAGGTTAATTATGATACTTGTTGAGTATATAGAATCGGTTGTACTCATGCTACACTCTACACTTAATTGTACAGATCCAGGTATCGGACCGAGTCATCGGTAGTTGAGGCATACATCGGAGTTGATCACCGAGAGACGAGGTAGAGATGCATTCTTGACCGCATTCTTGGCGTCTCTTTTCTTATGTACTATTGTCTTATTTCAAACAGTATTGCACTTGGCTATTCAGAATTATATTTCTCTTTTAGAGCTCATGACTCTATATTTACCAGTTGTGGGAGATTTTATCATATATTGGTACCATTATGTTATATTAAGGAATTAGACCTATGTTATTTCTGTCATTTCTACTATTTATTGTTATCTTTGACTTGCCTAGCAAGTGTGTTGCGCGTCATCGCAACTGGTTAAGGTTTGGGGATGTGACACTCAACTTAATATTATAGGTTATGAGGAATGTGTGACACTCAACTTAATATTATAGGTTATGACGAATGTGTGACAACTCAATAAGTACCTTCTTTAGCAAAGATATGGAATAGCCGCCATTTAAAAATGGGATAAACCTTTATCCCACAAAGGCATATATGATTTCTAGATAAACGTAATCTTTATGGTAAATAAATATCCTCTTAGTTACTCTGGTACTATTGAAATACTTAAGTTACGCTAATATGAACTTCTTGCTCCTTTTTACATATTCAGTATTTAGCACACATAGTCTATAACTCATTCGTCTATATTTGGTACTCCTGACCCTAAATCATCATTTTTAAAGCCAACTTAGACTATAGGATTTAACATAGCATGTGTACTTAAAACTAATTATGGTATACTTTTGTAACACGCTCAATGTGGGATAATATTTTTCGGAATAAAATAACAAAATAACAAATATGTCCTTCTCCACAACTTTTCTCCAATGTGAATACTTTGAGAAAGAAAGATCAAATTAAAAATAAAAGTTTATTCAAGTTTATTTGGGAAAAGGCATAAGTTTCTCCTGAACTATAGCTGGATTTTTAACTACGCACTTAATCTTAGCGCGGGTCCTATTACCGCTGAATTTGTTTAAAATAAAATTATTACCTCCCTAACTGATGAGGTGACAAAGAGAGTGTGTTTCACTCTCTCAAAGAGAGTGACAAGCTACATGTCTTCTTTTTTCTTTTCTCTCTCTCTTCTTTTCTTTTATTGTTGATTTTTTCTCTTCTTCTCTTTTTTGTTGTTCTCGTTTGCTCCACCACTTTGCCATAGCCACTGTCTTTTTCCTTCACCACTACTACTACCACGACCTCCCTCTACTCACTCCAACAACGATTGCTTTCTCCTTTTCGCATTACGTTTCTTATCTAAAATCAGAGAGAATCTATCATAAGACATTAGAGACACAATACCCAATCATCAAAAATGCGGCAACTACCACCGTCTTCCTCTTCAATTCCGGTGATTCTTTATCTTTTTCTAATTTCATCTCCTCTCTTCTATCTATCAGAGTTAATAATTTTTGGTGTATGATATAGAAACAAGTCCTTTTTTACTTATGTGAAAAATCCAGTGGTTAGCACAAGATTTATGTGGAAGAATGAAAGAATCTTGTAAAATATAGGACACTAGAAATTTATTACAAAAATGAGTAGGTTATGCATCCATTGGGATGACAAGTTATTTAAGCTCTCCAACTGCAGAAGAAGCTTCAAAATTATGTTAATGGTGGAATGATTATGGAAAGAAGAAGAAGGAAAAAAGGGGAAAAAATTAATGAAAAATACACGTGTCATATCCGGTAGGCGCGAGTAATTTACCACTTACTCAAGTCTGGCTGTAGTGTTTTAGGATAGTAATAATTCTATTTCAAACTAGTTCAGGCAGTAATAGGAGTTCCGCAAAGGTAAAATGTGTAGTTGGAAATTTAGCTATAATTCAAGGGATATTTATGCTTTTTTCCAAGTTTATTTAGTATAAAACCAAACACATATTTTATATTAGACCTCATATATTCCATATTTAACCTAATGACTCAAATATTAGAAAATAAAATAATATCCACTAAATAATCTCGTGGTCAAGATATTCCTAATTTTGCCAAAAAAATATAAATTGATTTATAAAAGATTTGGAGCATCAAAGTGAAATTGGATCCACTTCTTAGAGAATATTTATGATTAACTTGGTTGGAATTAAAAAAACTCACACTTATGAGCTCAATGAACTTGTTCCCAAACCATACCATAAGGGTGGCAAGTGGGCCGATCCGGGATCGGGACCGGCCCGGTACCGCGGGCCAAACGGGCTAGGACCGGGACCGTTTGGGACCGGGAATGGACCGGTCCTTGGCGGGCCAAATGGTTCCACCGGTAAAATTTAAAAAAAAAATCTGGCCGTTGGAAAAATTTAAAAAACAATCGTTGGGCTGTCAAAAATAGCTGTTGGCTATTTAGACAATAGTCATTTCGAACCCCCCCCCCCCTCCCAACTTTGTTTTAACCCAAACTTTTTATAATTACAACTTTTTCCTATTTTCAACTATACACCCTCATTCTTTTATTTTTCTTACCGAATCATCAATCTATCACAATCTCTCTCTAATTTTCTTTTATAATTGCTACTATTGCTTACTTTATTGTTACAATTTGTGAAAAAATTATGAAGTTGGTGAATTGAAGTCTTCAAGTCATAAACGATAATCAATTTTCAACAAGTTGTTCGTCAATTCGATAAACTCGTTCTAACTCTTAAAATTTAATATTATAGTTTTGTTTGTTTTATTTATTTTCTATTACTTGATTAATTAAGATGGCTTCCGTAAAAATATTTTGGTAAAAATAAGAGAAAATCCAAGAGTGACGAATCTAGTGGTCATGTTGTTCTTCCTCCACTGCCCCAGGCTCCCCGAACCAAACCCATATCCGTCCTAGACCTGCTACTCTTGATAGGGATAATAGTTTATTACAATTTACTAAGAGTCAATTTTGCCATAATATCGTAGCTGGTGAGCAATTAGACCATGAATTAATGAATGCTCTTTATTCTAATCCAACTATTGATGAAAATGATGATGAGGAAATTGATTTCGATGAAACTCAACCGGATGATGATACACCCACTAGTCCTACTCCTGATGTTAACCCAACTAGTGATAACCTTGCTAATTCAAATGATGCCCCATCTGATACTCCTGTTACTGCCCCTACTTTTTCTAGACAACCTACCAAACGAACGAAAGCATCTCTTGTTTGGCCATTTTTAACTCAACTAATTCCAGAAAATAAGGCTAAGTGTAAAACCTGTGGAACGGAGTTAGCTTTTAAATATTTTGGATCGCGGGGGAGACAGGAACTTTGGCTAGACACACAAAAAAACACCCTCAAGATAGAGTCAGATATCTTCGTCTGAAAGCTGATACACATGTAAGTGATGATGCTGAGCACCTTACGAATAGGGATTGGGCTAATCTCAAAATGCTTGTTGATTTTTTAGAAAGATTTCATATTGCTAAAAATAAATTTTCTGAGCAATATTATCCTACTATTTCTAACTGTTTAGTTTATATTGCAGAACTTGCTAATTTGTTTGCTTATTTTTCAAAGGGTAGGAAAATTTATAAACTTGCTATTTTTCCTATGAGAAAAAAGTTTAAAAAATATATTTCCCTATTCCCCCTATTTATGGTGTTGCTGCTATGTTAAATCCTTGTATGAAATTAGGAGGTCCTCAATTTTGGTATGAAACTGTTTATAATGGTTTAGCACTTGAAGATGATGAGTTGTCTCAACTTCCAGAATCAATAGCCTCAATTATAATAAATGCTCAAACTAGTTATAATGTTTATCAAGTTGCATTAAATCAAGCTAGACCAAATGTTCCAACTCCTTCTTCTTCTGATTCTCAATCATCTAAAAGAACTGCGGGAGTAAGAACACTTAGTGCTTGGGCGGGGTTTAGGGGTTCTCAAGGTTCTAGTAGTAGTGATTTTTCACAACTAAATGAGCTTGAAGTTTATTTAGCCTGGGATCATGAGTTCGTGGGCCCGGTCCCGGGCCGGTTCTTACTAAAAGACCGCTTGGCCCGGAAAGTGTAATTTGGGACCGACCCGGGACCGGGACCGTTTGGACCGGCCCACTAGGGACCGGACCGACCCATTTGTCACCGTTACCGTACCATTAGCATTTTTCTTTCTCACTTATAGGTAAAATATAGAAATTTTTTTTTTTAGAAAGGCTAAAGGGGCAATTTTGTAATATTGGGGAGAAGAATCCCACAAAAGTTGTTGCTTCATCTCCGTTTGCAAAGATAGATATTCCTCGCGGGCTGCCTCACAACTTGCAAAACCCTTCGAAACGATCAAATTCTTAAGGTAAATTTCTCAGTGCTCAAAATCTCAATCACAGATTTTAACTCACAGTACTACTTTTCAGGATCTCATCTGATTTCTTTAGAGTCTTTTGGTCTTCCATTGATTGAATAATAAGTCAATCACAGTAGAAAATCCCTCATGCTTAATATTGTGCCCTCTAAATTTTAAATTGGTTTTTTATGATTCAGTATTTGAATTTTCTATCTGGGTATGCTTTTGTGACAATCTTGCCTAAATGGTGGTGATTTTCTCGTTAGTTGGATTTTATTTTATTTTTTTGTTAACTTTCTCAACAAAAAAATAGTTTTTTTTGGCTTTCACTTGATGGGAGCAGCACCTTTTGTACTCTACGGAGAGATGATGGATTTAGCCTATTTCGTTATATTGACTTGGCTAAGTACAAAATACTAACTTGGGATTGGGAATAGTTGTTATTGTTGTCATACTTACATTAAGTTTGTTGTTTTAAAGGACTGTTTACTTTAGTTAGAGACTTGGTCTCCTTATATGGTCTTGGACAATCCTCCACTTATCAGCTACCTTTGGCATTGAGTTAGGCCCAAGGTTTATTTCTTATCATGTTACCAAAGCTAGGCCCACGCCCATCCAAAATCTTGGTTTACACTTTACCCGATGTTGGGTCCCCATATTTTTATTATTCACGCTACAGTTGGCTGGCCTGGGAGTGCGGAGGGTGTTGAGTTTGTCCCACATCAGTTGCGAGATGGGAATTTGATATGGGAATTTGATCTCTTTATATGGTCTAGAGCGGATCGGATACAAAAGATTAATTTAGTGACCAAACTAATTCAGAATTAAGTGACGGAATTTGAGGCGTAGTTGATTGATTCATATTATACTATAGGCCTTCCATATGTCTACTTTCATTTCTCTGTTTTTTGTTGGCGTTCAAAAGATAACCCTCCACTAGTACCGGGGCAGTCGGGGAAATGACGTATGGCCGTGGTATCCCGATACATAGGAGTAATACAAGTTGATAACTTCAAATTACTGACTATCTGGTAAGCTAACTTGGATTAGCTTATGAAAATATAGATTTTGGTAACATTAGAAGAAGCATCTCATCTTGTTACATGTCTTTCTTCGTTTATGGTCATAGGAGGGCGCTGAATTGCTTTTATTTAATGATTTAGATATATCAACTACACCATGAGCTCATGGTTTCAATACCTGCTGTAGCATAAAGTATCCAAGGAAGCAGATTTATATGCTAGGCAAAACAAAGAAAAAAGCAGCAGAGATACTCCAAATCGGTCTCTATACAGTATACACTAATTTGCATCATTTATTTACCCGATCAGTAATACAATCATCAAACATTTAAGTTCTGCAAGATAACACCAATCCGACGCTTGGGAACTTAGTGTGCTACTCAGAAGTCAAAATAGGGGAATTAAAAGAGTTGGAAATCACCAACCCTTTTTTTTATATGTAGTTGGAAACCACCAACTTAGTGTGCTAATCAAAAGTCAAAATGGGGAAATTAAGAGAGTTGGAAGACAACAACTTAGTGTGCTTGAAAATGCAGGAGTAGAAAGAGTTGGAAGCCGACAGTCATATTGTTTGTTGAGTTAACTTGACCAAAGCTAATACTGTTACTCATTCCCTCGTGGTTAGTAAATCAAGCATAGTTGAGCTGAGCTTGTGTCACTCAGATTAGTGCAGCTCTTCCGTACCATGGAAGATCATATACACACTGTCATGACGTCCTGATATCAATGATCTTTTTGTCTGCTCCGTTGACCACTTCTGTCATTTTATCTTCCCGTTTTCTTGATATGGAGTTAAGACATTCTTCTCCTATTTCATGTATATCCATCACACTACTGGTCTTACTCAAACTAATTGGTCTTCCTTAATTGAGCATGCATTCAAGTGCAAAACCTGAGTTGTATCCTGTGATTGAGATATCATTCTTCGTTACTTTGTTTTGAAACTTTAACAGTTATGGGAAAGGACTCCAAGGCAAAGGATTCTGGGGCCAAGGGAAAGGGTAAACAGGCTGCTGGTGGAAGTGAGGATGGTGCCTCAAAAGGAAAAGGAAAAGGCGGCAAAGGAGATGGCCTTGGAACCTGCACATATGTTAAAGGTATATTCTTATAGTTTATGAAGGCCAATGGTTATCTTGTTGTGTTTTAGGTGTTATTATTCCGTAAATTATTGGCTTTGACCTTTCAGCAAGGCATATCTTATGTGAGAAGCAATCGAAGATTAATGAAGCTTACAAGAAACTACAGGAAGGCTGGTTGGACAGTGGAGATAAAGTTCCACCAGCTGAGTTTGCCAAGGTAGATTCAACAATCTCAGCGTATGTATCTGTGTCTGTTGTTCACCACGCTTATTCTGAAAGTGAAAATATACAAGGATGTCGAAGAAGGTTGTAGAGTCAGGATTTTGTCTAGGCTAAACAGTCTAAATACAATTAATATATTTCCAAAAGAAGCAGTGAGCTCCTTTCCTTCTGATCCCATAAAAATGTAGAACATTATTTCAAACAATTCTGTAGGCAAGAGTCAACACCCAGTGATCCTTGTAAAGTTATTTTTCCTTTTTCTGTTACCTAGCTTGAGACTAAAGTGTAAGCGTCGCTGGTTGATTGATTGAATATAGGTAGCTGCAGCTTACTCAGAATGCCCCTCAGGAAAGAAAGGTGGGGATCTAGGATGGTTTCCACGTGGCAAGATGGCAGGCCCATTTCAGGAAGTTGCCTTCAACACCCCTGTTGGAGTTACCAGTGCACCTTTTAAATCAACGTGAGACTCCAGCTTTGTTTGTTTCTTTGCTTCTTTCTTTCTTTCTTTGTTAGGCAGATTGATTGTTCAATGTGTTGATGCTCAAACCAGCTGACTGTTTTTTATTGACTCCTTTCTTTCTTAAACTGCAGACATGGATACCATATCATTTTAAGTGAAGGGAGGAAAAATTGAGATGTCTGTGCATTCACGTACGTGCAGATGGCAGAGAAACTCTTTTATTTGTCATCTGATGCTAAGTACTGGTTAAGATAATAAGACCCTACTGGTGTGGTTTGCAAGTGTAATGCTAAACAAGTAGACATACCAAAATGATTGGATTAAAATTTCTTCCCGGCTCATGTGTATGTCAATATGGTTATTTTGAAGTCTATGATTGAACCAACACATTCTGAGAAAAAAGTGTTTGTAGCACTTGATATTAGTCGCCTTACCTGAGTAACTTGGTATTATCACCGGGATTTTACTCCGTGAAAATTGAATGTAAATGGTCGAAGATTAATGATTATGCTTGAATAAGTTGCTACAGTTTAGGTCGTCTAATTAACTGGAAGTATTCACGTATTTTTAATTGTTGAGTTGGGTAAATTTGTAAAATGTTCAAAATCTTCATTCAATGGGTAAAGTTGTCGAGAAACCAACAACCAGAACAGAAATAAGATTTTGCGTCTCGTATTTGGCACGAAAGTTCGTACAACTCCACCGATGCCGTTTTCCTCGAGGGAAGTCTACATAGCCACTTTGAGAACTCCTTTTTGGACCCCTATTTAAGGCATAACTGAAGTTAATAGATCTTTGTAATATTATACTCCCTCCGGTCACAATAAGTGACCAATTCAGTTTTTTATTTGGTCCAAAATAAGTGTTCATTTATATAATCAATAAACTGTTCAATTTGTTTTTCCAAAATTACCGTCATGTACGTATCCCTAAAAAGTCTTTTACTCCTCACATTATCTATACTGCAACATTTAATTAAGGATAGTTTAGTCATACTAACTGCTTTTTAATAAACCATATAGTGGTGACCCAGGTTAACTTAACTGATTAGTAGTTAACTATAGTTAGTGATTAGTTGACCACAGTTAGTAGTTAGGCGGTCACTTTTGTAATTAGGTAGTTATTACTGTAGCTAAGTACTGTACATGTACAGATTTTCGCATATCAATTACAGAGCTTGAGAATTGCTCCCTTTTCTCTCTTCTTCTTTTCTTCTCTTCAATTATCGATCTCAAATCCATAAATTTGACATGGTATCAGAGCATATAGACGATTGAATCTAAAGGTTTTCACTGAGAATTGTTGAGACCAAGAGATTCATCGGTTGTTTTTTCCGAATTTTCTAGCCGGAAAAGGTCAAGTACTCGCCGGAATTCTAAAAGGTCATGGCCGGAGATGAAACCACAAGTCATACAGAGGAGGTAACAAATCGATCAACAGTGATGATAGATCATAATCATCCACTGTATTTGCACCCATCGGACACACCAGGAGCATTATCACTTGGTTTTCAGCTGCAAGGAATGGAAAATTACACGATTTTGAGTCAAGCGATGGAGGTTTCGTTGCTAACACGGAACAAACTAGGGTTCATCGATGGATCGGTGATGCGTGATACTTATGGAGACATTCATGCAAATTTATGGGACCGCTGTAATGCTATTGTGAAGTCATGGATAATGCACAATGTGAGCCGCGATTTGCTGAGCGGAGTATTATTCCGGTCAAGTGCATATGCAATCTGGTCAGATCTCAAGGAACGATTTGACAAGGTTAATGCCTCGAGAATGTACTACTTACACAGGGAAATTTTTTCATTAACACAAGGTACATCTTCTGTTTCAGTTTACTACTCGAAATTGAAGGATCTATGGGATGAGTATGGTTCGATTATGCCTCCACCTGTTTGTTGTGATAAATCGAAGAAATTTACTGAACGACAGGAGTATCAACGTTTATGGCAATTTTTAATGGGGTTAAATGATAGCTACAGTCAAGCTCGTAGTCAAATCATAATGAAATCTAAAATTCCTACTGTTAATCAAGCCTATGCTATGATTCTTCAAGATGAAAGCCAGAAACTAGTAGCAGGTGGGAGTTATAGTACTGAGTCTATTGATCCTACTGCCCTGTTCAGCTCTAAGATTGGCCAAAAACAAAGAAGGAATTTCAATGTTGAGTGTGATTTCTGTCATTTAAAGGGACATACCAAGGAGGAATGTTACAAATTGATGAAGTGTGATTACTGCAATAGGAAGGGACATTTAAAGGCAAATTGCTACAAGCTGATAGGGTATCCTACAGATTTTAAGCCTCAGAAACGAGCTAATATGGTTGGAGGTTCAAGTAACCAGCCAAATCCACCTTCCTCAGTCATGATGACACGGGAGCAACATCTGGGACCTATGCAGGGATTTACTACTGAACCACATGGTCATCAGGGGCAACAGAATCTGGGGCATATACAAATGTTCACTCCTGAACAATATGGTCAGATTCTAAGCCTACTAAACAAGGCATCACTCTCTGAATCCTCTGCCAGTGCACACATGGCAGGTAATGTTTCTTATGAACCAAATATTGATGAGAAATGGATAGTAGATACTGGAGCCACTAATCATATGGTTGGTAATGAGCAACTTTTGCTTGAAAAATTGTTAGTAGGTAATGCAGGAAATGTACAGCTCCCTACTGGAGAGTCTACCAAGGTGTCACATGTTGGTAGTTGTCAATTAGATGGAGGTGATACTATTAATAATGTCTTATGTGTGCCAGCTTTCAAGTTTAATCTCTTGTCTGTGTCTCAACTGACAAAAGCTTTAAACTGTTGTGCTGCATTTTTTCCAAATTTCTGCATATTTCAGGATCTCTTCACTGGGAGGGTGAAGGAGATTGATAAGGAAGAAGAAGGATTGTATGTGTTGCATTCACAAAGGAAAAACAAGAATAACACTAGGTCATTGGTGATGATTGCTCACAGGATTGAAGCTGAGTTGTGGCACAAGAGGATGGGACATGTTCCAATCCAAGTTCTTAAGAAAATTCCTAGTATACATAGTAGCAGTAGAGCAGAAATAAGTCTTTGTGACATATGTCCTTTAGCCAGGCAAGCTAGGACTTCTTTTCCAGTCAGTAATAGTAGAGCAGAAAATGTATTTGATTTGATATACATGGATGTTTGAGGACCATACAAAGTACCTACATATAATGGAAAAAGATATTTTCTCACAATGGTTGATGATCACTCTAGATGGATTTGGATTTTCTTCTTGCATCTTAAGTCTGATGTTATTACAGTGCTGAAAAATTTCATTGTTATGGTGAAGACTCAGTTTGGTAAAATGATCAAATGTTTTAGGTCTGATAATAGTTCTGAATTTTTCAACCACAATTGTGCAACATTGTTCCAAATGCATGGGATTATACATCAGAGTTCCTGTCCACACACTCCTCAACAGAATGGAGTGGTGGAGAGGAGACACAGGCATGTTCTAGAGACTACAAGAGCCATCAGATTATAGGGACACTTGCCAGTGAAGTTTTGGGGTGCCTGTGTAGATGCTTCTGTATACATAATAAACAGAGTTCCTTCGACAGTACTGGGGAACAAGTCACCTTTTGAGATATTCTATGGGAAACAGCCTGCATTGTCACATATGAGAATTATAGGGTGCTTGTGTTTTGCGGCAAGGTTGCCAAGAGGAGACAAATTTGCACCTAGGTCTATAAGATTAGTGTTTCTGGGATATGCAAGCACACAAAAGGGATATAGGCTGTATGACATTGAGCATAAGACACTCTTTGTCAGTAGGGATGTGATATTTCATGAAGACGTGTATCCATTTCAGGGTATTCACCAAGGCTCTTCTTTATTTGCAGATGAATTTCAGAGTGTTGATCCTTGTCCTGATCAACCTCCCATTGTTTTGCCCTCTATTATCCATTACATCTCCAGTTCCTGGGGAATCTATTCAAGTAGACATCAGTCCATCTTTAGATTCTCATTCTCTACCACATGTAGAGGTATCAGCTATAGAGCAGCATGAGAACAATGTTGGAGAACTGAGGAGAAGAACTTCAAGGCCTCCTATTTCGCTGAAGGATTATGTTGGGCAAATGCAGAAGCCTAACTCTTCTCATGCAGCACATTGCCAGTATCCTATTAGCAATTCTATTCAGTACACAGGATTGTCTGCCTCATATCAAGCTTACATCTCTCAAATGTCCTCTGAAGTTGAACCAGCTTCTTATTATGAAGCAGCCAAGGATGTGAAGTGGATTGAAGCTATGAAAGCAGAAATTCAAGCATTGGAGGATAACAAGACATGGGAGGTAGTGCCATTGCCTCCAAATAAAAGTGCAATTGGATGCAAATGGGTGTACAAAATCAAGTATACTTCCACTGGAGAAGTTGAGAGGTATAAGGCTAGGTTAGTAGCAAAGGGGTACAATCAAAAGGAGGACTAGACTATCAGGAAACTTTTTCACCTGTTGTGAAAATGATAACTGTCAGGTCAGTTGTATCCATAGCAGCTACCAAAGGGTGGACACTATATCAGATGGATGTTTATAATGCCTTTTTGCAAGGAGATTTGGAAGAAGAGGTATATATGACTTTACCTCAAGGGTTTTCTCCTAAACAAGGGAAGACACAAGTCTATAGATTGCTTAAGTCACTTTATGGACTTAAGCAAGCTTCAAGACAGTGGAACATTAAACTCACCACAACACTGCTTAATTCAGGTTTCAAACAAAGTCATTTTGATTATTCTTTGTTTACTAAGAAGCAAGATTCTCATATTGTGATTGTTTTGGTCTATATTGATGATCTTTTAATTACTGGGGATAGTGATGAACTCATTTCAAGCACTAAACAAAGTCTGCATCAGAATTTTAAGATCAAAGATCTTGGAGAGTTGAGGTATTTTCTGGGAATTGAATTTGCCAGAAACAAAGAGGGGATCTTGTTACACCAGAGGAAGTATGCTCTTGAGCTTATTTCAGATGTTGGTCTAGCAGGGTCCAAACCAGCTCATGCTCCTATTGAGGTTAATCAGAAGCTCACTACAGTGTCTTATGATACTCATTTAGGCCTCAAGGATGACAGCTTACTTGAGGATCCTGGTGCTTATCAGAGACTTATAGGCAGGCTACTTTATTTGACAATCACAAGGCCTGACATCTCTTTTGCTGTTCAATCTTTGAGCCAGTTCATGCAAGCTCCCAAGCATTCTCACATGGAAGCTGCCTTGAGAGTGGTCAGATATATTAAGCAGAGTCTAGGGCTTGGAATTCTTATGTCAGTTGCAGCTTCAACACAGTTGAAAGCCTACTGTGATGCTGATTGGGCTGCATGTCCAAATACGAGAAGATCAGTCACTGGCTATTTGGTGAAGTTTGGTAATTCTCACATCTCATGGAAGTCCAAGAAGCAAAGTACTATTTCAAGAAGTTCAGCTGAGGCAGAATATCGAAGTTTGGCTTCCACAGTTGCAGAAATTGTTTGGCTCGTTGGCTTATTTGCTGAATTGGGAGTCACTCTCACACTCCCAGTTCCCCTTCACTGTGACAGTAAATCAGCCATACAAATTGCTGCCAATCCTGTGTTCCATGAACGAACCAAGCACATTGACATTGATTGTCATTTCATTCGTGAGAAGGTTCATTTGGGCTTGGTTCACACTGTCTATTTGAAGTCTGTTGATCAACCTGCTGACATCCTAACCAAAGGCTTAAGTAATGTGCAACATTCTCATTTGTTATCCAAGCTAGGCCTCCGGAACATCTTCATTAGTCCTAGCTTGAGGGGGGGTAATAAACCATATAGTGGTGACCCAAGTTAACTTAACTGATTAGTAGTTAACTATAGTTAGTGATTAGTTGACCACAGTTAGTAGTTAGGCGGTCACTTTTGTAATTAGATAGTTATTACTGTAGCTAAGTACCGTACATGTACAGATTTTCGCATATCAATTACAGAGCTTGAGAATTGCTCCCTTTTCTCTCTTCTTCTTTTCTTCTCTTCAATTATCGATCTCAAATCCATAAATTTGACACTTTTGTCTAGAATTTAGTATTTTCTTAATGGGTGTGCCTAAAGCAAATTGGTCACTTATTGTGGACCGGAGGGAGTAGCTGCTTAAAAATCAATTCCAGGCTCGATTTTTGTATGAAGTTTCACTTTTCGCCTGAAGTTTTTGTCTGAAGTTTCACCCAATTATCTGAAGTTTCCAGTGATCTAATTCTAGAATATTTGCGTTTGTATATATATGTTTGTTGGAAGCAAACTTAACTGAGTAAATTCAGAACTAAATGGCTCGTTGGTTTGTGAAATCAGTTCGGCTCTTGAAGTTACAAATCACAACTGCGCTTCTAGGATTCTTTTTGGAAAAGAGTTGGTATCCTAGCTGCTCGGAAGTACTTTTCAAATAAATTAGCCAAATACAAATTGTTTCTCACCAAAAGTACTTTTGAGAAAAACACTTTTGAGAAAAAGCTGATTTTTGCAGCTTGGCCAAACAAGCTAATATATATAGTTTGGTTAGCTTTCATCTATTGTCAGATTTGATATAAATGATCAATATGCCAATATTTCTTGGAGCATTATACGATTTTTATCATCGCTGCTATGTAAATCACTGAGAGGCTTAAGTTATATGATTTGTTGCAGCTGAAATTTTGACCTCTCATTCTGACAGTTTTCAGGTGGAATTTGTAGTGCATGAGAATGAAAGAATCTCTAAGGCACCATTGCAAATGAATACAGGGCAAAAACTGAAATGAAGAATACAGAATCAATATGCGGCGGTTTGATGGATATATGACCCAGACATGTCCAATAGAATTTCCTGCCAAGGTGAATAAGTGCCTCTTGCCTTCAAAACTGAAGCTGAAAACATGCATGCCAAGACAAGTAAAATGCTCTATGTACTACTAGGGGTGGCAAACGGGTGGATGGGGTCGGATATTAGCGGCTCGAAAATGGGTAATTCCAAAACGGATAAATTATCCGACCCCGACCCGTATTTGAGACGGATAAAAAACGGGTTATCCGGCGGATAATATGGATATCCATATAATCCATCACTTATAAGAGAATTTCTAGTCTCCCAAAGTTAAAGAACCCCATTTTGAGGTTTTACAAATGTAAAAGTTAAACACATTAGTTATTCATTTGTTTAACCATTTTTTAAGTGGATAATATGGTTCTTATCCATATTCGACCCGTTTTTAAAATGTTTATTATCCAACTCATTTTTTAATGGATAATATGGGTGGATAATTGTTTTCTTTTAACCATTTTGCACCTCTATGTACTACTAAGGTACTAGGCAATTAGGCATGAAATGCTATACCCAAAGGAATAAGGATTATTCTAACTTAACCAAGTAGCGACTCTTCAAACAGAGAAATTATACTAAGGTTGGACAACTAAAACCAACAGCATACAGCCAGCGTGATCAGTTGTTTACTAAGAACTCAGATGATGCTATCAAGCAATTTATAACCTTTTCAAGTAGCAAAATATCATTCTGCGCACTCTTTGGATCAGCTAACAAGGTTTCGGCTTCTCAATGCAGAGTGAAAAAAAATAAAAAAATAAAAAAAATTGCAAACCTGAAGACTAAGATTTGATCAACTCTTCACCAGCTTTCATTTCTCCAGAGAGAAAAATGCAACTTGAAAGGAAAAAACCTTTTTGCTCAACTTTACAGAAGTGAATACAGCTAACAGCCTACATGGTTATAATATTATGGTCAAATAGCTTTAAACCCCAGCTCACATCCTCGCAGTGCCTCACATGAGGAACAATTTTACTTGTATCTGTTCCAGTTTTCTTTTTGCAATCATAGTAAGGTGGGGCGTGGAAACACGGCTCCAATGATGCAGCTCGAACACAAGGCGGATTATGAGCTGTCTTGTTCTCAGGCTTGTATAGGATCCAAGGCTTCAAACCTCCAAGACCATGAGCCACATATCCGAAAGTCGACCATGCACTTGTAACCAATTTGTCAGTTAAACTCAGTAGATACATTTCTGCCAACGCCTTTCTATCATGCATAAGCTTCTCACTTTGTTGATGTTTCTCCTGACTCGGCTGGTAAACGCCAACGATCTCTCCTGTCACAGTGGGATGTTCCCAGTACATGTTTCGGAACTCTTCAAAATATCCAGGGCTTAGAGAAGTTATCAGGATGGCTATCGTCTTCTGCTTCCCGGATGGGTTGACTATAGGCTCCCCCCGGTTAATTCGTGGCAGCAGATTCTCCTTCATTGTACAAGCGAAGATCTGATCCAGAAAATACTTAAAAGGACCAACACCTGTATCAAAGACTCTAATTTGAATTCCTAGTTTTTCGTCTGCTTGGGCTAAATAAGCTTGATAATACCTCATAACAAGCCCCCATACAGAATTTGTGGGATGGAAAAGGTATCTACTCAGAAAGTGGAATATGGTTTCTTTTTCTGGAAAAAGATTATCTAACTCTTGCTCAAACGATGGGATCAAGAAAAGAAATGGCACAAAATAATTATCGGTCCTCATGACTAGCCAAGGGATTTTCTGGATAAAACTTTGATCCTCGTCACAGAAAAATAATTTATCTTGATCATCATAATCATGAGCTAAATGAAGGTAGATGAAGGGAGGTACTATTGAGCCAGATGAATTGCCGACGATATCATTCTTCACCATATAACCATAGCAATGAGGAGATTTCTGATCAAAGGTGCTAAACTTACTGATTATAGGGAAATCTGGAGGAAGTAACCAAGAAACGCCCGGAAAAGGTTCGCAGAAGAGATCAGGCATATTAACTCCAGGATCAACAAGGAGGACTCGATTTGTAAGCAGAGCATATAGGAAAGCAGAAGCTAAGGTTAGTATCCTATTTCCTAAACCACTATAGGATATCCAAACTAAGTAATTACAATCTGCAGAACCTCCGTATTGACCAGATTTGATAAGCTTGACACTTCTGTTGTATAATTCTGTATGAGGTCCACATCGCTTATGGAGAGCCTCATAGTTCCGTAACCTTGAGATGAGGTAAGAAGAAGGCTTCTGGCGCAGTTCTTTATGATATAAGACTGACTCATGTCTACTCAGACAAGATCTTTCATCAAATCCAGAAGGAAGAAGGCCACCGAGCAGTTTATCTTTCTGCACCGTGACTGGCCGATGACTACCATCTTCTGAAACTGTGGCTGAAAAAACCAAAAAAGAAATTAAACAAGAAAAGAAACTTATTACATATTTTAAGGAAGCCATGCTCCAAAAGGCACAAAACATCTATCATCTTATCAGTAACACAGTCACAATCACAACCATTTTCTAGCTATTATATCCACAATCAAACTATAAGAGCAAGCATACAAGCAAAACATTATATAAACAAAGCAGAGAGAGAGAGAGAGAGAGAGAGAGAGAGAGAGAGAGAGAGAGAAAATATCTGCCTACCATACTATGCAAGAATGCAACAAATGACTGGTCAATTTTTAAGTAGAATGATGGGATAATGCCCCATACAAGCAAAATTTAAATGACTGAAACTGATTATTTTGCCGCCAACCTTGGTTCTCAGCTTTAGCTTATTCTACCGATTAAATCTTTGAAAGCATTGGGGCCTTTTAACTTTCCTCACACTAATAAGAGTGTGTACATGTGAAGCCAGATATGCTAGGCTAATCCAAACTAAGAAACGAGAATAAATAAGCACAAAATCAAATCTAGGATCCTGGGCTCACCTAATTGCTGTATTTTGTTTCAATCTGCAGAAGGCACTCAAGCCATTACGTTGTCTTCAAACAACTATCCATTTACACCCCCAACCTAACATCATAGCGGGAAACAGAATGTATTCGGACTTTCTCTTGTTATTGAAACTGGATTCACTAGTGGAACAGCAAATGAATCAGCTCTGAGCCAAACAACAATAGTGCAATTTGCAACTATACTAAGAAGCAACTGCAGCTCAGAAGGATATAAAAATCAAAAGCACATGTAGAGGCTGCAAATCTTTGTACTACTAATACCAATCCTACAAAGGTGCAGCTCTGTTGATAATCTGCTTCATGGACTTATGTGAATTTCTTTCTTAATTTCCTTCACGCTTTTCAGACCAACAAATTATTAGTGCTAACGAACAATTCCAACTTTAGTTATTTGGGGTGCAAAGCACTTTATACAATAATATGTGGTTCTCAAACCAAAATCTTTTACTCCATTACTGCCAGTAGTAAACCTAAACAACACTTCACCGGAGTACATCGTTAAGTGCATGCTTGTGCAATCCAGGATTTTAAATCAGTTGGTGTAGTCAGTGGCGGACAGACATTGATTCAAATAGTGTCATCTGACACTGCAACACCAAGACATTTTATTACTGTATATGTTATATTTTACACAATATTCTAAAAATTATATACTTACACACCACATTAATGCAGAGTAAACATCAGGTAAAGCCTAACTGAAACCCCACGACCTCAAACTCAAACCCATGTACTAGCTCTATGGTGACGTAGGCCGATACTGCTGGGGTAAAATTCTGCATACGCCACTACGTGTAGTACTATACTCCCTATTAATTTATGGCCATGGGTTTAATATAATTTCCTTAAAATGATCCAGTATATAAATATTTCAAACACTGCAGCGGGCCAAAATCGCTGCTCACATACTACATCCATCCATGTGCATGCGTGTTGTATGATTCACTAAAAAAAAGTCGTATAATCAAGCATAAAAAAGCTAAAGAATGGGGAAATGGAAGTACCATTTGGAGGTATAACATCAAAGAGTCTAGCTTCAGCCAAAATCCTGAGTCGGCTATCAGAAGGCAAGTCTCTGAGTATAACAGAGGCCGAGAATACAACCGTCAAAACCATCAAACAAACAAAGACAAATCCCATAAATCTCATGGAATTCAAACCCCATCTCGCCTCTGAAACCATATTACAAACAGGGTTATTCTCCCGATCTAATGACACTGACTCATGTGGCTGATCACTCAAGCTTTTCTTCAACCTCTTCATTTATTAATCACAGATGGTGAACCGGTTATCATAAAAAAAGAAAACAGTGGATAATTATATATTTAGAATGAAATTTGAAAAAAAAAGGGTGGAGTAATTAAGGAAACTGGGAATTGTGAACACTAGGACTTGGATGTAACCAAAAATCCACCACTTTAATTTCGGTTTATATGCACATGAAAAAAAACAAAAAAATTATTATAGAGAGTGGTTGTGTATTAACTTTAATTGAATTGAATGAGCTTAAATCATGGGAATTCGCAATTAGAGAGTGAAACCGAACGTAAGTGGAGAGTGAAGAAACGGTTGGAAACTTGGAAGAGTGCGTATGGGAGTTTGTTGCCGCGCCTGCGCAATTGTGGGACCTTGTTTTCTTTTGACTCGTTGCTTCATTCAATATAGAGTTTTCACACTACTAATGAATATTTACTTTTTTTCCTTTTTTCATTAATTATCTCATATCATTCTTATAAATTTTTTGCAAAATATTGGGTTTTTATCATATGCAGACTTAAGAATTTTTGTTTGATTTATAAAGGTATTTGAACACACATTAATTGCAAATTAAAGTTTATTTTAAAATTTTATATATTATTTCAACTTCACTTTTAAATAGAAAACTTTGAAGGTAAAAGTTTTGTTTGGTTATCTCATATGAAGTAATGTTTCACTCACAAATGTTAATTTTTAGTGGGCGTTTGGACATAAGAATTGTCAAATTCCAGGAAAAAAAAGTGATTTATTTTTCAAGTGAAAATAGTAATGAAAATTAGAGTTATGTTTGGACTTTGAACATGAACATAATTGGGAACTGTTTTTGAATTTTTGTGAGTGGTTTGAAGTGAAAATTTTGAAAAATATCTTTTTGGAGTTTTTTAAATATTCGAAAACTTTCAAAATTAAACTTCAAGTGAAATTTAAAATTTTCATGGTCAAACACTTATTCCGAAAAAAGTAGAAGAATTTTGAAAAAAAGTAAAAAAAAAAAAAAAGGAATTTATGACCAAACAAGCCCTTATTCAACTGAAATTTATGTAAAACAAAATTTCTGTAACGACCCGACCGGTCGTTTTGAGCTCTAGCGCGTCGCTCGGCAGTTTGAGGCCATTAGTAGCTTCACTTCAGGCATTATGACTTTCACACATGGTCGGAATTGAATTTCGGGAAGTTCAAAGTTGATTTGGGAAAGAAAATTCTCATTTCGGAAGCTTTAAGTTGAAAGAATTGACTAAGGTTTGATTTTTGAGTATACGACCTCGAAATCGGGATCTGAAGGTTCCAATAGGTTCGTATGATGATTTTGGACTTGAGCGTATATCCGGATCAGGTTTTGGATGACCCGTGAGCATTTCGACGCCTATTGTGGAAGTTGGCATTTTGGAAGAATTTCATAAAATTAGGGTTGCAGCATTTCAATGTTATCGATGTCCGTTTGGGATTTCGAGTCTGGAAATAGTTCCGTGTGATTCTGGTATTGGGAGTGCGTCCGAAAATGGATTCGGAGGTCCGTAGGTCATTTTGGGGTCATTTGGCGAAAGTTAGAAATTTGAAGGTTTTTGAGAAGTTTGATCGGAAGTGGACTTATTGATACCGGGTCGGATTCCAATTCTGGAAGTTTGAGTAGGTTCGTAATGTCGAATGTGACTTGTGTGCAAAATTTGAGGTCAATCGGACGTGATTTGATAGGTTTCAACATCGAATGTAGAAGTTTGAAGTTCTAAAGTTCATTAAGCTTGAATTGGGGTGCGAAGATTCATGATTTCGATGTTGTTTGATGTGATTTGAGGCCTTGAGTAGGTCCGTGGTATGTTATGGTACTGGTTTGTGTGATTGGACGGGCCCCAGGGGCCTCGGGTGTGTTTCGAGGTGTGTTTCGGGGTAGTTTCGGATCATTTTGGGCTGTTTTATAGCTGATCTGGTGTCTGGTGTTGTTCTTCGCGTTCGCGAGGATCCTCTCGCGTTCGTGAAGAAGGATTTGGCTTCAGGGACTTTGTTCTTCACGTTCGCGAAGAAGGAAATCTTTGTTGCACAGGTCTGACTCGGAGGCTCATATCTCGCAATCTATAAGGAATTTGGAGATGATCTATAAATGAAAGTTGTAGCCCTTTGTATCTAGTTTTCAAAAAAGTAAACCATTTATCATTTGAACTTGTGTACAAAAAGTTATGACTGGTACACTACAGGTTATCCGGGAAGATGAAGAAGAAATTTGTGTTGCACTAGGCTGACTTTGGAGGCTTATATCTCCAAAACTATAAGGCGTTGGGAGATGACCAAAACATGAAAGTTGTAGATCTTGGTATCTAGTATTCAAAAAATTAAACCATTTGACATTTAAAATTTTTTACCAAACGTTATGACCATTATACTAGAGACTGTCTGAGAAGAGTTTGGGAATGGCTTTCGAGAATTTTGTTCATCGCGAACACAATGGGAGGCCCGCGAATGCGAAGAAGGGTTGCCTGGCAGTGTATAAGTTTGCAAAAATGGGTTTGGCTCATTTCATCTCATTTCCTCCATGGGAGACGACCTAGGAGCGATTTTGGAGCACTATCTTCATTATTTATGTCAAGGTAAGTGATTCTCACCTATTGCAAGTTAATTACTTAGATTATATCTAGATTTTAACATGGAAAATCACGGAAAATTAGTGAAAATTTGGGGTTTTGAAGAAAAACCTAGAAATTTATATTTTTGGATTTTGACCACGAAATTGGACATGGAACTTGGAATAAATTATATATTTGAGTTCGTGGTGTTATGGAAAAAGTTTATCTTCGAAAATTTTCGGAATCCGGGCACGTAGGCCCGAGGATGATTTTATCAGCTTTTCAAGCGGAATTGAAAATTATTGTAAATAGGATTATAATGGGTATTTGAGTATATATTAATGGGTTTGCATAATTATTGACTAGTTTTGGAGCGTTAGGCATCGGTTTAAGTCGTCGGAAGGGCTTGGGAGCCGGTTATGGAACTTCGGAGCGAGGTAAGTCTCCTTTCTAACCTTGTAAGAGGGAAATAATTAAATATGTGCTTCTATTTGTGGGGGCTACGTACGCACAAGGTGACGAGGGTCCGCGCGTAGCTACTATTATGCTTAAGTCCGGGTAGTCTAGGAGCCGAAAGCATGCTATACTTGAAATATTTGTAACCTTTTTGACAATTTAAATTGCTTAAATCATATCGAATTGGTAAATGAGTTTCTAAAGAAATTAAACATCATTTTCTTGACCGTTAAAGAGAAGTTGCCATTTCTTTGGCTGATTGTTTCCCTGATGAATTCTTGATTGACTGTTTGATGCATTTATTTATATTTGACCACGTCGCATATATGATTCGCGAGCTGGCTAATAGATGCATCTATGGTTCGCGCCATTCAACCCTCTGGCAGTGCACAGTTTAAATATTATGTTGGATCGGGCCGTATGACCTCGGCATGATTTGCGCATGCTTGTATTGCTTGCCTTGAAATTATAAATGATATTGCTTCCCTAGCCTGAGATAAATTGATAATTGAGGAAATATGAACTTGGAAATCTCTTATTATCAAAAGGATTTTTACTTACTACATGATTCCCTTGAGTTTACTGTTGTTTTTAATAAATCCATGAGTGATTATATTATTGGACCACTAGTAAGTGTCGAAGTCGACCTCTCGTTACTACTTCTTCGAGGTTAGACTGGATACTTACTAGGTACGCGTTATTTTCGTACTCATACTACACTTGTTGTGTATTTTTGCTGCACGGGCACATGTATGTCTAGTGGCCTCGTTGGGCGCAGCGGCATGGTTGATACGGAGACTTGGTGAGCTGCATCTCTCGAGGCGACCCGCAGCCAGCAGAGTCTCCTTCAGAGTATTGTACTTTCTTTTCTGTCCAATTTGTATTCCAGACAGTTATTGTATTATATTTTATTTCCTAGAAATTGCTCATGCGCTTGTGACACCGGGTTCTGGGATGACTATGGGATTATTCAGTATTTAAATTTTTTAAAGACACCATTATTTTCTTGGTTAAGTTCTTTATTTATTATTTAATGTAAGGAAAAGAAATGATTTCAAAAATACTAAAATGAGGAATTTATTTAACTTCTTGGTGTTGGCTTGCCTGACAAGTGGTGTCCGGAGCCATCACGACCCTTAATGGATTTTGGGTAGTGACAACATGGTATCAGAGCACTAGGTTCCCTTAGGTCTCACGGGTCATGAGCGAGTCTAGTAGAGTCTTGCGGATCAGTACGGAGACGTCTGTACTTATCTTCGAGAGGATACAGGGCTGTTAGGAGCATTTCCCTTCTTGATTCCTCTTCGTGCGGTTTGATTTCTTTGATTTTTATGCCTTCATTTTCTTCCCATTAAATCTTATGCGACGTGAACGGTGGTTCTAAATCGGGAATCGAGGAATTTTAGTGGTACTACAAATAATGTGCGGGATGTTTCTCCCAGCGTAGTTGTTTGGGCTATTGTCATCGCCTTGCGGAAGGATATTCTATCGTTTCAGCTCAGTAGTTGTACTTCTGAGAGCTTTGAGGCTATGCACAGGTTGCTATGATGCTTATGAACGGTTATCACGCAGTATTGATCTGATGGTAGGATACTTGCCTCTATGTCGGGGCAGTGAATGACTTGAAAGGAGGTTTACTCAGAGCACGATTCAGAGATTCGGTATTTTATTTCTGGTCGAGGAATGGCACTATAAATGTTTAGGTTTGGGTTGATTGTGTAACGAGACTTAGTGTTTTCAAGTGTTGTGGAATTTTTATCTGCGACGTGGTGTCGTCATCCTCGATTGAATGTGTTAAGTTCGCCGGTGTTATGATCTTCTACAATTCGCCTTTGGGGCAGGATATGGTGAGATAGTATTGGAGAAGCGGCTGTCAGAGATCGCGGGGTGCGGTGGTTCAGGATTGAATGGGTATTTCTAATGCTGACGGCTCGAGAAGGAGGATCTTTGGAAATGATTGAAGTTAGTAGTAATCTATCGGTTCAAGTGCTACAGAGATAGATATTGATCTAAGGCAACAACTGGGCAGCAAAGGATGAGGAACGACATGTGGGAAGTGTCAGGCGGTGGTTAAATTTCTAGAAGGCCAGGTGTAAGAAGCGAAAGTCGAGTAGCTGCTTAAAGGAGTGAGTTTGACG